TTTTATCATCCTTGTGGGAGGCTTCTCTCATGTCCCCACATGAGGAGCTGGAGCTGATAGAGGGAGCTCATCCGCCTCTCCCCGGATTCGAACCTGTGACCTGTCGGCCTTCAGTCCTGCCGGCACAGGGGTTTAACCCACTGCGCCACCGGGGGCTCCAGCCCCATACTGCAGTCTATACTCATATATAAAACTAAAAATTTCAGTAACAAATCAACCTAAACAACTTTGAGGGTGAAACGTCAGGAGAGAATGCTTCTGCAGCATGGCCACACAGCCCGGAAAACTCACCAAACCCAGTGATTCCAGCCATGAAGGTCAAGTGTCAACTCAGTCATCATTGTTCATAAACAGTGTAGTTAATAAGTAGCAAGTAGCTCATCAATAGTGCTTGATTGCTAACAGATTGGGGTTATTATCTTCTGTTGACTTATTAATTTCTGCAGTAGTAGAGAGAGACCAACAATAATGTAAATATATTTGTTTGCACGGGAAATCTCCCCTTGTCGGGCTGTTGTTTTGCAGAGCCTCTGGCCCTTTTGCATTTGGTACTTCTAGGGTTTAGATATGACAAGCACATACTGCAGCTACACACAGGTTACACTGGGCCAAATGGGATATCTTTAGGGACATGTGGGAATCCATTGCGTATCCATGGTGGTTGTTTTGACATACTGAGGTCAGCCTGGGACAACTAGTTTCTTGCTTTTCTCTTTTTCTCCTGGTCTCTCGTGAGAATTGTGCAACCCTCGGTTCACTCCTTAAGTCTAGCGTATCAGGGATTGCAGAGCAGAGGAGAAGTTGATGTCATTTGGCAAACTTGCTAGCTTGAACAGTTGAACATTATATGAAGAGAGAACGAACAATAGATAATAAAGCATGGGAAGGGAAATAAAATCACCAAAAGGTATGTATAGGCCTTACATTTTGAGACAAGGAAGTGGGCCACATAGGTAACAAGGACATGGTTTGCACAACGTCTTATTGAATCATATTGTATATAGCAGGCATGGGCAGACTTTGACCCAAAGGCACCCTCAAAGGTTGTGAGGTCTGTTGGAAACTAAGCAAGGGAGGTTTCTATATCTGTGGAATGTCTAGGGTGGGAGAAAAGCAACACTCAAAAAACTGGGGAATTCTAAACAGGAAACAATCAGGGCCAGCTAACACCTCCCAACAAAGGACTGCCCCAGGCAGAAGGTTTATATATCTGTGGAAGGTCCAGGGTGGAGAAAAGCAACACTCAAAAAACTGGGGAATTCTAAACAGGAAACAATCAGGGCCAGCTAACACCTCCCAACAAAGGACTGCAAAAGGTTTATATATCTGTGGAAGGTCCAGAGTTGGAGAAAGAACTCTTGTCTGTTGGAGGCAAGTGTGAATGTTATAATGTAATCCAATATAATACTAATGATAATTATATGGTATTATAATTATATATTTTTATTGAATGCAATATTACTAATAATATTATGATATAGTGTTACAGTGCAGTATAGCAATGTTTAATGATGATATTGTGCTATGCTAATAATATAATATATTGTATGTATAGATACCTTGTAAGCCGCTCCAAGTCCCCTTCGGGGTGAGAAGGGCGACATATAAATGTTATAAATAAATAATGTTGCAATTAATTACCTTGATTAGCATTGCAAAGCCTGGCAGCTTCAAAACCTGGCTGATTCCTGCCTGGGGGAATCCTTTTTTAAAAAATCCACAAGCATGTGGACAATTTCAACAGAAAGGAGGAAACCAGGAAAATTAACAAAATCAGGCTATCAGTATTTTTTTAAAAAATCTACAATTGGGACAGTAAATAAGGAACAACAGTCAGAAAGCAGGGGACATCCAGACATGAAACAATCAGGGCCAGCTAAAACCTCCCAAAAAAGGATTCCCCCAGGCATTTAATTCAACAAGGGAACCACCCAGAGGATTTATTTATCGTGTCAGAAGCGAAATGAGAATACAGTTATAATGTATAGAAAAACCACAAAATTTGGCATTATACCACCCAGAGTGAATGATAAGACAAAATATCTGAAGTGTTAACGCTTGGGACTAATGGAGAATTGCAGTTTAAAAACACATTAGTACCAAAGAAAGGTTTAACCACCTTCCCAAAATCCTACTACTTTAAGTCTTGGAAAGCAGGGCAATGATAATAATATAGTCTTCTGGATGAACTCCATATGCTGAGTGAGCTGAGAGTACAGGTGTATTATTATTATCATCATCATCGTATTTCATCAATTCTAAAATCAATTTGCGCAGTTGGTTAAACCCCTGTGCTGCTGAAGTTGCTGACCGAAAGGTTTGCAGTTCAAATCTGGGGAGTGGGGTGAGCTCCTGCTGTTAGCCCCAGCTTCTGCCAACCTAGCAGTTCGAAAACATGCAAATGTGAGTAGATCAATAGGTACTGCTTCTGCAGGAAGGTAACGGCACTCCATGCAGTCATGCCAGCCACATGTCCTTGGAGGTGTCTACGGATAATGCCAGCTCTTTGGCTTAGGAACAGAGATGAGCATCACCCCCCAGAGTCGGACACGACTAGACTTAAAGGCAATGGGGAACCTTTACCTTTACTAAAATCAATTACTTTCTCCCCATATCAATATATTGAAAAATTTGGTGGATCTTAGATTCAATGACATCTTGGAACAGAATAAATAAGATATTACTATTCAAGTTTTCCCAGTTCTATCATCACATGGCATTCATAGAAGTTCCTTCTCAATTTTTATTTACCAACGTCTTCCTCAAATTTCTGAAAAGTACGAGTCTCTCTCCCACCCCCACATTAAAGTCAAATACAAAAAAAGTTTCAAAATCAAATTTTTACCAACAATAGTACTGCTTTACATTTGAATGGGAGTCCAAGAAGTTACAATTTGTTTATTTATTTATTTACTATTTTTATACTCCATCCTCTCTCAACCCAAAGGGGACTCAGAGCAACTTACAAGTACATACAATATATTATTAGCATAGCACAATATTAGTATTCTATATTCCTATATTGCACTATACCACTATTCTGCAATAGTAATATTACATGTAATATACAATTACTATATTATTATATTGTATTACAATATTATGATCAATATTGTATGTATATGCAATATATTATATTATTAGCATAGCACAGTGTTAGAAGTATAGATTACTCTATTGTACTATACTGCAATATTATGATCAATATTACATGTAATATATAATACATTATTCTATTGTATTATTAGTATTATATTGTATTATAATATTATGATCAATATTACATGTACATTAAATATATTATATTATTAGCATAGCACAATATTAGTATTATATATTCCTATATTGTACTATACCACTATACTGCAATATTATTAGTAATATTACATGTATCGTATAGTATAGAATTATTATATTGTATTATTATTAGTTTATTGTATTATATTACAATATTATGATCAATATTATATATACATAAAATATATTATTAGCATACTACAACGTTAGAATTATATATTCCTATATTGTACTATACCACTATACTGCAATATTATTAGTAATACGTACTATATAATATACAATTATTATATTGTAATATTATAAGCATTATATTGTATTACATTATAACGGTATTATCAGTATTATATATTACATGTAATATATAATTATTATTTTATTATATTGTATTCTTTAGGATTATATTGTATTACAATATTATGATCCATATTATATGTACACACAGGATATTATTTTATTAGCATAGTACAATATTAGTATTATATATTACTATAACACTATACTGCAATATTATTAGTAATATTAAATGTAATATATAATTATTATTTTATTATATTGTATTCTTTAGGATTATATTGTATTACAATATTATGCTCAATATTATACGTACATACAATATATTTTATTATTATCATAGCACAATATTAGTATTTTGTATTACTATACCACTATGCTGCAATATTATTAGTAATATTACATGTAATATATAATTATTATTTTATTATATTGTATTCTTTAGGATTATATAGTATTACAATATTACGTTCAATATGCACTTTACTATCATAGCACAATATTAGTATTATATTTTACTATACCACTATACTGCAATATTATTAGTAATATTACATATAAAATACGATTATCATATTGTATTATTAGCTTAATACAATATTAGTATTTTGTATTACTATCCCACTATACTGCAATACAATTAGTAATATTACATGTAATATATAAAATACGATTACCATTTTGCATTATTAGTATTATATTGCAATATATTACAATATTATTATCAATAATAATATATAGATATATACACACTGAATTTTTTTTCAGGCACAGGCAAACTTGGGCCCTCCAGGTGTTTTGGACTCCAACTCCCACAATTCCTAACAGCCTACCGGCTGTTAGGAATTGTGGGAGTTGGAGTCCAAAACACCTGGAGGGCCCAAGTTTGCCCATGTGTGTTCTGGAGCATCTACACTGCAGAATTAGTGCAGTCTAACACCACTTGGAATGCATTGTTAGGGAGAATTGGTTGGGAACCCCAAGAGCCATCCAGTCCAACCCCATTCTGCCATGTAAGACTACACAACCCAAGCACTCCCAACAGATAGCCATCCAGCTTCTGCATAAAAGCCTCGGGGAGTTAAAGGAGGAGGCTCCACCATGATGATGATTCCAACCCCATTCTGCAATGGAGGCATACACAACCGAAGCCCTCCCGACAGATGGCCATCCAGCTTCTGCATAAAAGTGCCTTCCACTCCTCCCTCCCAACTTCCAAGAAGGAGCCATTGCAATGCCTGGGGTTTCTCCTTCTCATACTTCCAAGTTGAGTAACTTTTGCACGACAGCTTCCCCGGACTTGTTGCTCCGAAGCGAGGAAGCCGAGGAAGGGAGGAAAAGCAAGAAGGGCTTTGGGAGAAGGAAGGAAGGAGGAAGGCGCCCAGCCCCACCCCTCCTGCGCTCCTTACCTCCAAAAGGGAAGCTTGCTTGCTTGCTTGCTTTCCTGGGGGAAAAAGGATCAAGGGGAAACTTCCACCACTCTGGGAACAGCTTGGCTTCTGCTTCGGAAGGCGCCCCGCAAATCATCATATTCGTAATGCTGCCTCTGCTGCTGCTTCTCCATTCTTCTCGCCTCCCTCCGCCTCGCGCCCAGAAATGCGGCAGCAGCCCCGCACAGTTGGGACATTCGCTACATTGTTAGCATTCCTTTCGCCCCCACGTGACCCCCGGGGCCCCGGCGTCATTCCACCGCCCGCCCTTCGCATACCAGACAGGAGGCGGGGCCCCAGCTGCCCATCAAAGGCTCCGACTGGGCGGGGCTTCGAGTTAGGGAGTTCTGTCTCCGCCCAGCAAGAGTTCCAAATAGGCGGGGATTCGACTTGGAAGCTCTGTCTCCGCCCATCAAGGGCTCGGAATGGGCCGGGCTTCAAGTTAGGCGTTCTGTCTCCGCCCATCAAGGGCTTGGAATGGGCGGGGCTTGAAGTTGGGCGTTCTGTCTCCGCCCATCAAGGGCTTGGAATGGGCGGGGCTTAGGATTAGGAACTCTGTCTCCGCTCATCAAGGGGTGGAATGGGCGGGGCTTAAAGATGTCTCCGCCCATCAAGAGCTCCAAAAAGGCGGGGCTTGACGTTTTGGCTCCGCCCATCAAGGGCTCGGAATGGGCGGGGCTTGGAGTTAGGCTTTCTGTCTCCGCTCATCAAGAGCTCCAAATAGGCGGGGCTTGGGCTTAGAAGCTCTGTCTCTACTCAATAAGGCCTTGGAATGGGCGGGGCTTGGACTCAGAAGCTCTGTCTCCGCTCATCAAGGGCTCGAAATAGGCGGGGCTTAAAGTTGGGCGTTCTGTCTCCGCCCATCAAGGGCTCCGAATGGGCGGGGCTTGGAGTTAGGCGTTTTCTCCCCTCATCAAGCACTGAAATGGGCGGGGCCTAGAGTTAGGTGTCCTGTCTCCGCCCATCAAGGGCTTGGACTTAGAAGCTATGTCTCCGCTCATCAAGGGTTTGGAATGGAGGGAAGGATACTAGAGACAAAGTTGAAGTACTTTGGCCACATCATGAGGAGACAGCAAAGCCTAGAGAAGACAATTATGCTGGGGAAAGTGGAAGGCAAAAGGAAGAGGGGCCGACCAAGGGCAAGATGGATGAATGGCATCCTTGAAGTGACTGGACTGACCTTGAAGGAGCTGGGGGTGGTGACGGCCGACAGGGAGCTCTGGCGTGGGCTGGTCCATGAGGTCAGGAAGAGTCGGAGGCGACAGAACGAATGAACAACAACAACAGAGTTAAGCGTTCTGTCTCCACCCATCAAGGGCTTGGACTTAGAAGCTGTGTCTCCGCTCATCAAGGGTTTGGAATGGGCGGGGCCTAGAGTTAAGCGTTCTGTCTCTGCCCATCAAGAGCTCCAAATAGGCGGGGCTTGGAGTTAGGCTTCTGGCTCCGCCCATCAAGGGCTCGAAATGGGCGGGGCTAGAAGTTAGGCTTCTGTCTCCAATCATCAAGCAGTTAAATGGGCGGGGCTTAGAGTTAGGCATCCTGTCTCCGCCCATCAAGGGCTTTTTTAAATGGGCGGGGCCTAGAGTGAGGCACTCTGTCTCCGCCCACTCCTCTGGTCTCCCTTGAGATCAGGAACCTGGATAATACTTGGTTGCTGTGAGTTTTCCGGGCTGTATGGCCATGTTAAAGAGTCTGGGAGTCCTTTTGGACCCTCTGCTGACGATGGAGACCCAGGTCTCCGCCGTGAGCAGAACCGCCTTCTTTCACCTGCGGCAGGCTAGACGGCTGGCCCCCTCCCTGTCCAGGGACGACCTAGCTACGGTGATCCAGGCCACGGTCATCTCAAGACTGGACTACTGTAACGCCCTCTACATTGGCCTTCCTCTGTCAGTGATCCGGAAGCTCAAGTTGGTACAAAACGCAGCTGCTCGGCTTCTTGCGGGAACTCTGATGAGATGCCACATAACACCAATCTTACTGCAGCTGCACTGGTTACCAATTGAGCACCGGATCACTTTCAAAGTGATGGTACTCACCTTTAAGGCCTTGCATGGTCTGGGGCCGATGTACCTGAGGGACCGCCTCACCCCCTACCAACCCCAGAGATCCCTCCGTTCTGAGGACCAAGATCTATTGGAAATCCCCAGTGTCAAGACCTTGCGTCTAACAGCAACCAGACGCAGAGCCTTCACAGCAGTGGCACCATCACTCTGGAATACTCTGCCACCTGAAGTCCGTGCCTTGCGGGACTTACCAGCTTTCCGCAGGGCATGTAAGACATACCTGTTTCGACAGGCTTTTAATGTTTGATATTGCTGTTTTTAAATTGTTTTAAATTGCTTTTAAATTTTGTTAGATTTTAGCCATTCTTGTAAGCCGCTCCGAGCCCCAGGGGAGTGGCAGCATATAAGTCCAAATAATAAATAAATAAATAAATGTTCCAGAAGCATTCTCTCTACCCGGAAAACTCACAGCAACCCAGGTGGCCATGAAAGCCTTCGACAACACATGGATAGCACTACTTTTAACAGTCCCCAACTTACAAACATCTGACCTACAAACGACTCATAGTTTAGAACCGGGGTAAGATAACAGAAAGAGAGGGAAATCTACCCCTCGGAAGGGAAATTCACCCCTCTTAAGTCGAGTTATTATGTGGAAATGGTATCTCCGCTGAAGCTTTAGTCTCAATCCTTCTTCCCACAATAAGCCATTTTTTTCAAAAACCAAATATTACCTGGACAGAAAATGAGGTGAAATCTTCTGAACAAGGATAGCAAAACAAACACCACAGGGCTGTTAACCCTTCCCTGTCCTATCTAAAGATAGATAGATAGATGTGGGTGGAGTTACACTTCAAAAATGTACCTGTTTGGACTTCCATACAAGTTCAACTTTAGAACAACCCTACCGAACCTATCTTGTTCGTAACTTGGGGATTGCCTGTATTTATTATTATCCCACATACAGCTGAGATACAAATAGCTCACAGTGTTAAAAAACAAAACCATACAATTTAAAATCAAAACATCCCTGGTGAAAACTTTATATCCCAACACCCAGAAATTAGTTTTACTTTCCTTGACTGCCTCTCTCCCTTATCTCTCGGTGAAGCCTTGTTTCAGAACCCGGCCAAGCCCTTGTCCTTGTTCCATGGAAGCCTTGCTTGGAAGATTCGTGTTAAAGATTTCTTGTTTATGGTTTGACTCTTTTTCTCTTGGAATTATATTCTCATGCTGTGGATTAATGTTTTCCTGGCTATTTAGATTTGATTACAAAACTCTGGATTTTGCTTTTGAACTTTGCTAAACAATGCCTTGGAATACTTTGTTCCTGTTTATCTTCCTACCTTTTTGGACTTACCTATTTTCTTAAAGCATATTTTTACCTTGCTGTTTTTACTTATCTCCAATTAAAAAAGGATTGTTTTCCTACTCAACGTGTGGTGTTTTAAAGTCAGAGGGTTATTCCTGTTCTGGAGTGCAACTGATGGGCTCTAGCCAGTGTGCACCATGATTGGAGAAGGCGACGATGACATAGCCAGGAATTTCCTCCTGGCTGGGCAGGGAGGCCCTGGGGCTTCCAATGGACTGGCAGAGGCGATCTTGGGGGTGGAGGGGTCAAGCCAACCCCATGGTGTGTAGCAATGGGATGCTGGAGACAAAGAAAAGTCTAAAAGATTATTTGACAGGATTATGCAGATACCGGACCTTGCTGGAGAAGGGTTTGGGGGCTCTGAAGTGTGGGTTCCTGCTGGTCTTTTGGGGGCTCTAGGGTGGTAGTGGGGATGGAGGTCGTTTCCACTTCATCTGGCCTTTCGTCCTTGGGAAACTACAATTTCCAAAGATGTCTAACTATGTCTTCTTTTTAATTAGGGTTAGGGATCTCAACAACATCATCAGATCGCCTCAAACCTTAAATCAGATGGAAATGAATGCAGTAGAGGCTACTTTTTAAAATTACGGCAGTGCTTATCCCGTGCAGTGCAGCTATGTACTTGCTTAAATGAGAGCATTGCACAATGGTGTTTTCCCAATAGGCCTGGCTTACAAAAGATGCCTTAAAATAATGTTACACATATGAATAAGAAAATATCCTAGGGCACAAGTATATCGCTATATGTAGAATGAGTAAGATTAATGGGAGCAAGGAGTGAGGAAAGTGTTATTCCTCATTTATTTTCCACTGATGTTTAAATTAGTCTTGTTCCTAAAACACTTCAAGTCAGTAAATCAGAATTCAAATTAGCAGCACTAAAAAGATGGGATCATGGGATTGGTCATTTGGTGAGACACCAGCACTCTTTGGCAGATCTACACTGCCATATAATCGAGATTATCAAAGTAGATTATCCAGATTATCTGATTTGAACTGGATTATGTCAATTTGCACTGTCATGTAATCCAATTCACAGTAGAGAATCTGGATTTTTTGTGGCAGTGTATAAAGGGGGTCCTTGTAAAACAACATCTCCATTCAATAACATTGGCTCCTTCTACACCACCATATAAAATCCAGATTCTCTGCTTTGAACTGGCAGTGTAGACTCATATAACCCAGTTCAAAGAAGATAATATGACAGTGTAGAAGGGGTCATTGGGCCATAGTAGTTACAGTGGTGTCAAACTGCATTAATTCTATAGTGTAGATGCCTCCATATCTCTTAAATTCAAGACAGGGGCAAAAAGGAAGGAAAGTAAAATCAGGGAAGTCATTTTTGTGTTTCATTCTGTAATGAAGGCTGAATAGTTAATTTGTTCTTTTGCTGATGTAAATATAGTGGAATGGAATAGTACTAACCCTCTTCTGTTGGAGCATCCAAGCAATCAGTCAGTGTGTGTGTGTGTTTGTGTCGACTGTAAAATTAGATGCATTAAGCTGATTGGTCGGGCAATGCCTAAGGTGATTGCCGTTCAGCAATGGAACTCTCTGTCCCGGAGTGTGGTGGAGGCTCCTTCTTTGGAAGCTTTTAAACAGAGGCTGGATGGCCATCTTTCAGGGATGTTTTGAATGCAATTTTCCTGCTTCTTGGCAGGGGGTTGGACTGGATGGCCCATGAGGTCTCTTCTGACTCTATGATTCTATGATGGCTGAGCTTGGAACTTTTGGATACTGTTGCATTTTTGCTCACGCTCGAGCTATGCAGGTGTTCAGCAGGCAGAGAGAAGAAGAGAGAAGCAGAGAGAGAGAGAGGCTGATTTACTTCTTGGCTGCTTAAAAGTAGGTCTCTCGTAAAGGTAAAAGTTTTCCCTTGAC